CAAGCTTCCTCTGGGCCAATCGTTTGGTTGTAAACAATGCGATCTGCACAGACTTTCCCTATGTATGTTACTTAGTGTAGAATAGAAGGACTAAGGCTAATACATTCAAAACATACGACATCTTTGTTCTCGAGATCCACAGCCTTTAATGGCTCTCCTAAATATGGTTACCAGTATACCCCAACTGCAGCACATAGCAGGCATGATTAAATACACATGTGCCAAAATTGCATTCAGTCCATTTCATTGATTTTCTATAATCTCGTCTTCCTCCCTCTCCATCCACACTTAGTAAAAAGAGAAAGGACACTTTCCTAAACAGTATTGTTTTTTGTTTTTTTATTGCTCTCAGCGGATCATCACAATCATCCAGTATGGCAATCTCCGACTTATCTCTATGGATAAATGGGTGTAGAGAATATATAAATGAAAGAAATAAAAATGATTGTGTTATCGCCTTAGAAAAATCTGAAGATTTGAATCATTTCTTTAAGTTCACTTCACTCCAACTCCAACTTCTATGAGGCCTCCAGGATTTCTTTCCTCCTATCTCTTTCACTTTTCATGCTGCTGATAAATACTCTTTCATGAACGACAAGTACATCATGCACTCTATGCTTAAAATTTTAGTGTTTCCCTCTTTGTTACTCAACTCTTTCAACTGGCTCTCAGCCTCTAACTACTACCCATCAGCAATTACATCATTTTCTACATCCTTTTCCCTTGGTCTTCTTGCCTTTCCAAAGTAGGCTGTCAGAAAATACATTTGACACACATTCTGATGGAGATAGAACTTCCCATTTATATGGTTCAGAAGGTACTCCACACCTTCTGGGGCTTACCACTATAATGTTGATTTGTAAAGATAGGCAAGAATATAGATTTAACATAGTAGCATTTTGAGAAGGAATTATTGGTCTCAAGCTATGAGAGTAAAAGCATAGAAACAGTGATTAAGAATCTGGACTCTGGAATTTTATGCTATTTAGGCTGTTCCGCTCTTGTACAATCTTATACTTAATATAATCATGGCTCCTAAAAAATTCTGTCTTTTGTGGTTAGGATTTACACCAGCTTCTAGTCCAACTTTGTTGTATGAAGCTATCCTTGTTGGTAGCTGCTCTGCTTTGAAGGGAATGTTTAACTCAGAGTTTGGCAAAAATGGAATTTTATTTTGTTGACTGAAGAGTACTTAGGTCAAGTAGAATTTTTGGCACTTTGTTACATTCCCTGGCCCTCATTAAACAAACTTCGCTATCTATATCGATATCTATATCAATATCGATATATATAGATAGATAGATAGATAGATAGAAAGACAGATGATAGATGGATGTCAGAAACAATTTGGAATAAACACTATATACAAGTATTGATGGTAGATTTTCTGAAGAGTTACCAAATGCATCAAGACTAAGGAATATATTCTAGTGATTCCAACGTGCGTATATTTAAATCCTAGTTAAACAGTCTTCTTAGTCTCCTCAAGCTTTAATGACATGCCATGATTGGCTGTTTATCAAAAACTTAACAAAAAAAATGCTTAACAAGATATAATCATGTGCACACACAGTGCATAATTAAATCCAGTTTATAAATTGGTACAAGGTGAACTATGGTGACATGACCCAAGAAAGGTTGGTGGCTGGTAAGTAACACTTTTCCCTCATCTATAATGATAAATTTTAAAATGAGAATGTTATGAGGTGATACAGAATAATAATCCCATCTTAAATCTTAGTTTTAAAATTTTTCATCCCTATTATGTTAAGTAAAAACTCTCACAAAGTTAGGAAATTCATTTAAGTATGAGAAACATGTACAGGAATTAATTAATACTAGAATTGTGTTGTATGGACATGGAAAATTCATCGTTTGTAGGTTGTTAACCTAATAGATTCCCTTCTGTATGGTTGTGAGTGTATTTGGAAGGTTTAGCTGGCACTTAATTTCTTCACTTTATAGCTGTTCTTTCACTTGAAAAAAAAATAGGGAACAAGTGAGACAGAGTAATAGATATTTCTTGAGAATTCTAAGAGGAGGTATTACAGGATGTTAAAGACTATACTTTTCCATTTGTTTTATGACTTTCTCTAGTTAAAGTTACTGAGATAAGAACTCCAATGTTTGCTTGTAATTTGAAACCCCTTTCATGGTGTGTAAGAGTCCTGAGGGAGATGAATTAATACTTAAGGAATGCTTACCTTGTGTCAGACATTTTATATGCATTATCTCATTTAATTCTCACGACCACAAGATGCGGGTGATATTAGTCCAGCTTTGCCTGCTTGAGATCTTAGTAGGAGTTAAGCATGGAACAAAGGTTTGACTCTAGGTCTCTCCCTTCCAATTTCTTTAAAACCCAAGACCCTTTCATTGAATCACATGAGGCTACTCACAATAGCCTCATGTGTGTGAAATGAAAGGAGGGGCATTTTAACAATAAAGGGATGTTCTTTCACTGGTCATTCAAGAGATGCAGATGAAAACAGCACTGAGATTCCACCTCACCCCACAAAGAATGGCTGCTAGCAAGAAATCAAACAATAACAAATGTTGGCGGGGTTGTGGGGAGAAAGGAACCCTTCTCCACTGTTGGTAGGAGGGCAGACTGGTGCAACCATTATGGAAATCAATATTTAGATACCTCAAAGATCTGGGACTAGAGGTTCCATTTGACCGAGCCATTCCTCTGCTGGGTATCTTTCCAAAAGAATTAAAAGAATCATATCACAGAGATATATGCGCACCTATGTTTATAGTGGCACAGTTTATAATAGCTAAAACTTAGAAACAGCCCATTTGCCCATCAGTTGGAAACTGGATAAAGAAGATGTGGTTTTTCTATGAAATGGAATATTACTCAGCCATAAAGAATGACAAATTAAATTAGAGGAAAATAGATACATATTGAGAATATACTCCTAAGTGAAATAAATAAGTCACACATGTGTAAATACTGAATAGTTTCTCTGGTATGAATAAACTATAATAGTACATAAGATCCTAATGATATAACTGACAATGTGAAATAGGAAGAAAGGGGCTAAAGGTATAAGGAAAGTGGGAAGGGTAGGGGAAAGCTAGTAAGGGAAAAGAAAAATATATGAGAAAATGAAAAAATGGAAATGAAGTGTTTGTAAAGGGGGAGGGGTGAAGGGAGGGCAGGGAGAAGGGGAAAAAATGAGAACTAAGACCTGTCATGCAAAGGTACAAGATCCCAATAATGAATGTATCTGTACTGTATAGCTAAAATGTACCAATAAACTCAATGAGGAAAAAAAATAAACAATAAGGAATGTTCTAAATTTTGACACAATGCTCTTTTCTAAAGGTAAAACAAGAGAGTACAATAATGCACTGGATTAAAACATTCTCAATTGCAGAGACTAGTGTAGAAGGTTATAGAGTATCTATACCATGAAATATCGATGCATTGGATAAAATGAGCAAGGCAAGCCTGATTAATGAAAGGGAAGGTAAAATAGTTGCAAAATAAAATTTTTAGTAGCGGGGATGGGGATTTAGCTCAGTGGTTCTGGCACCTGCCTCACAAGTGCAAGGGCCCAAGTTTGATCCCTGGTACAAATATATATATATATTTGAAGTAGGATGTTATTTAGCACAAAAATTGACCAGGAAAACAGGTGTTTCATATACTTAGAAACAGGTTTGGAATTGCTTAGTTATTTTGGCTCAGCAGACTAAGAATGTTTGGTAGATAAATTTCACTTTTTAATGTATATGCATCACTGTTGCTTACTTTTTGTGTAATTGCATGTATTACATTCACAATTAAAAATCAGGTAAAGGATTAGTTGAATGATGTAGAGAAAAGACTCATCCTGAGGAAGCAGTGACTAAGGTGATTAAAGACATTTAATCTCAAAATGCAAAATTGCTATTTTAATTCACTATTCTGTGAATAGTGCTTCATTATTACTATGCATATATGGTGAAAGCTAAAACCTCATTACTCGTATTGCATTGTGCCTTATCTGAAGGAGCTGCTAACAGAAGGAAAATGAGTAGGTCTTTGCAGACTTAACATGTCCAAAATAGAGATCTACAACCTCCTCTTCCTGTTCTTCCCCCAGTTTTACCCATCTCTGTGTGTTATTATCATTTCTCCATGAGCTCAAGCGGAAACACAAGTGGCACAATTTATTTCTCCTTTCCTTTCCCTACCAGGTCCAAAACAAAAGCAAATCCAATGGGATCTCCCTCCACAATAGCTTCACTAAGTTCCTGAGGGCTCCTCTCAAGTCACCACTATCTTCTGTCTGGAAGACTATAATTTCTCACTAATAGATGACTTCACTGTCACAGTTCTATACTAGGCAATCAGAGCAATCTTTCACACTCCCGCATTTTAGCACTTGTCAGTAGTTCCTTCTTGTATTAGAAAAGTGAAAAGATGATGTGACAAGACAGCAGGTCATGTGACATGTGGAGGTGAAGGCTAGGACCTCAGCTCTTATCCCCACACCATGCTCATTAGGTCATAGTTCTCCTGGCCTTCTTTCTACTTTTCAAATGCATCCTCTTTGCCCTTCGCTTCCAGAATATTCACCTCTTTGTTGGTTACCTGGCTATCACTTTGTCAGTCTGAACCAAATAAGAAAATTGCATTACAGAAAGTTTAGGGAATCATGGCTTATGGGGCTTGGCTTTAAACTCATGTTGGAATCATTTCATACTGTTTTCATGACAATAGACAACAAATTAGAGGTGAATCATCTCAGGTGATGGTTTTGGCAGTCAGCAAAAATCTGCTTGTTGAAAAGGCCAGGACAAAGAAGAGTCTTTCAAAGTTCCTATTGTAAGTTCGTGCATTGTAGGCTACTACATTTTCTAGCTTTTGCTGGAAAAAGACATAGCTACAGGAGAAACTATGATATGGCTGTATCTGGAAACTCTTGCCTTAGAGACTTAAAATGAAAGGTTGCTCATTTGGAAATGACTGTAATATGACAGACCCAGAAATCCTTATGACTTACTTAGTGAGATGTCCAAAGAGAACTTTCATGGTGTCACGATTTGGTGGAGGGAGTTTTTCTACAAGATACTTTATAGTTTCAATCCTTGCATCGTTGTTTGGCTTTTCTAAAAATAAATGGAAAAAAAGGTTAGAAAAGAATAGTATTTCATAGGCACATGAGAGAATTTTCTTAGGAAAATTTTTGACTAAGTCTTAGCAACTAAAAGTACTAATCAAGAATCAAAGAGAAAAGTAAGTTCTCCACCTAGTTAGTATCAAATTTCATTATTTTACCTCTAAATTAGACCAGGGTGACATGCAAGGAGCAGTAATTGAATTTGACATCATCCTATTAAGATCAGACACTGAAGTGTTTTTTAAAAATATTCTATTTTAAGGGCTAAAGGAGTAGGGAAAGTGAGAAGGGTAGGGGAAAGGGAATAAGGGAAAAGAAAAAAATATGAGAAAATGAAACAATGGAAATAAAGTGTTTGTAAATGGGGAGGGGAGGAGGGGATGAAGGGAGGGCAGGGACAAGGGGAAAAAATGAGAACCAAGACCTGTCATGTAAAGGTACAAGATTCCAATAATGAATGCAATTGTACTGTGTCCCTAAAATGTACCAATAAACTCAATAAAAAGAAAAAAAATATGTTCTATTTTACTGAGTGTGATAGGGTGAATAATGGCTTCCAGAGATGCCATGTCCTAACCCCTGCAAACTGTAACCATGTTACTTCACATGACAAAAGAGACTTTGGTGGTGTGATGAGCTCAGGAATTGAGATTGGGAGACTTTTCTGGACTACCCTTGTGGGCCGAATTTAATCACAAAGGTCCTTTTCAGGACTATGCGAGTCCAAGAGAGGTGATGTGACAGTGGAGGAGGAACAGAAGGGCTTTGTAGTGTGAGTACTGGCCAAGAAATGAGGACAGCGTCTAAAAGCTAGGAAAGGTAAGGACACAGAGCTAGTGAGAAACTCGGGCCTGCTGATATTCTGAGTTTTTCCTAGTGAAGCTGATTTCAAATTTCTACTCTCCAGGACTGTAAATTATATACTTTCCGAAATATTTTTATTTTATTAAAACATAAAACCAAATTAAGCCTGACTTTATGTTGTTGTTAAAACAGCGGTAGGAAATGAATACATAAGGATATACAGTATGGTTTGATATACAGTGTGATTTGATTCCAAATATTCTATTGCTTATTTGACTTTGTGGAAAGGCAAAGCATTTTTAAAAACTACTTCTACGCTATCATTTATCCCAAATGCATTTTGTTTTAGCTATAAAATAAGAGAATGCAAAGCCCCAAAATCTAAAAACCATAATATCTGGTTATATACATATTTTAAATTTAGAAATTTTTCAAAATTCTTTCATTTTCATTGATTTGAAAACTTCTCTCAAAACTCCTCATTTGGTTCTCTTATTTTTTGCTTTGTCTGAATGGCAAGATAAGAATTGAGTTACTTGGTAACCTAAGAAGTTGGTCTTGTCATAATTTTAACCAGGACATTACCATCTATAGGTATAATTATTTATTATAATAGAGCATGTTAGGCACACTGATTTAGGTATCTGTCCTTTCTGGATTTTATCTCTAATGCCTAGCACAGAGATTCTCGTGAGTCTAAAGGGGAGACCGGGAAAGATGATTTACAGGCAAATAATATGGAAGAGAGATGCCCATCCAATATCCATTATTTTCTTCCTTGGACAGACAATCCATTGTGTATAGGGGATAGCAACATATAGAGTGGCCACGTGACCATGAGGACTTCTGATTAGGCTATGTACAGAGCGAATTTAGCATCTGAGTCTTTTTATCTTTTCTCCTTTTTGCTTCTCAGAAGTAGATGAAATGGCTGTATTGTGAGGTGACCTTGACAATTGAGGCCTCAAAAAATGGAACATGTTACTAGGAGGAACATCTCTGAATTTATGGTGCAAAGAGACTTTCTGTGACAAGAAATTGAACCCCTGAGTACCAAAGCCTTTGAAGATGGGTCTCTGATAATAAGGCCCAACACGGTTCCTGAAAATTGTACCTCTAAAAGCCCAATTGATAATCTGTTAATAGGCATATAAACCTTATACACTAGTAAGAAAGAGTTTAGAAACAGGGAGCATCTTTAATACAGTGTTTGCACAAGATTTTTCATAAGGAATTATAGGAAAATACCCTGCTGAAGACAGTATTTGGCTAAAGTGGGGCTAAGTCTTCCTAGTACAACTCTACTTGGAAGATTTTCTTTTTCCTCCTAAAACCACAAAGGTCTATAAATAATGCCTCCCACAGTCAAAGCTTTCAAAATTGCAGTTATTCTTAGAAGAGTTCCAATATAATATGGCTTGGACAACTGCAAATGAAAGAAACAAAGGGAAAAGAGAAGGCGAAAAAAAAGTTGCAACATCATAGCTTACACCAGATGTAATCTTTTTTTGCCAAGCAGCAATAAGCCTGCTCATTGCTTAATGAGGATAAGAAAATGTGATGGTTAACAGGACTTGTTGGGGACTAGGGGATAGCAGAAACTCAGAAAAAAAAACAAAACAAAAAAACTGAAAAAGCCAGCAGAGGTGAGAATGAAATTGGTTAGTACATCTAGGACAGAACCATTAGGGGTGTTGGAGACCTTATGTCTTCACTTTCTGAAGGTAGTGTCTCACACCAATGATTGTACAAATACATATATTGTACATATATATATATGACAGGATATGATATGTGATATATGATAAGATATGATACTATTAGTGTATTTTACTTGAGGACCATTTGCTTTAAGCAATGAAGATAATACAGGAAAGTGGAAGAGAGAAGAGGGATGGGGACCAAATTAGACCTCAATTCACTGAAGTTTCTGACTATAGCAGTAATCAGGTCAATGTTAGATTCTCCAAAAAGGAGATACATTGACATTGAGATCTCTGAAGTAGCTGGCCTAAATTAAGCTTGATAGATAGTGGGTGAGAGTGACTTTAACTGCTACCTCCATCAAGCCTTAATTTTAGGGAGCAGATGATCTAGTCAGAGTGGACTGGAAAAGGGTTGAGTATTGCTTAGCAGCGTACTTGAATTTCAAGGTCATTGTTATGCTGCTGAGAAGGAATCAAAACACTATCAAGTCTTGTAAGCCACTAGGTAAGAAATTTGCAAACTTTCCTAGACAGGTATTTTTTTTTTCTGTGTTCCATCACACGTAGAACATTCTAGGTACACAGCATTTCATATAATGTTTGCAGTGCTTGAATGCCTGTCATTCTCCACAATTAAGTTGGGAATTTTCCTAAAAAGCTAAGTAGCTTTTATACTGAGTGGTAGTGGAATAAATGAATGAATGAAAAAAAGAGCCAGTGAATGAATAGAAGACAAAAGCATGGATTAAAAGAATCATATCAGAGCGATATATGCACACCCATATAGCGGCACAGTTTGTAATAGCTAAATCTTTGAAACAGCTCAAATGCTCATCAACTGGTGATTGGATAAAGATGTGGGGTTTTAAAAAATAAAATGGAGTACTACTCTGCCATAAAGATAAACAAGAGATATTTATAGCTAAATGTAGGTACCTTGAGGCCATACTCTTAAATGAAATAAATAGGAAACACATGTAAATACTGAACTGTTTCTCTGGTGTGAGAAACCACAAGTGTAAAGGAGGATCAAAATGTATAATAGATAATGTGAAATAGGAAGAAAATGTTCAAAGGGAAGCAGAACTAGGGAGGGGGATAGGGAAGAAATGAAAGAAGAAGGAAAAAAATGGAAGCAAAGCTTTTGTAAATAGGGAGGGGTGGAGAGGATGAAGGGAGGGAAGGGGAATGGAAAAAAACAAGAACCAAGATAGATCATGTACAGGCACAGATTCTCAATGGTGAATGTGATCAGAATGTACACCTAAAATGTGCCAATAAAGTTAATAAATAAGAAAATACAGAGACCTCAGTTTGAATTCTGTAACAACTTTTATAAGCTATGTGGCCTTAGACATATTTCTTATTCTCTTGGAATAACATCTAAAATACTGATTTTATATAATAAAAACCAAAATGTGTAGTATACCTAGAGCAATGACTGGTAAAACTAAGTACTCTATAAATGCCTTTCTGCCCGAGAGGCTCACGCTGGGTACAGTTTACCTTTTATTTGTAGCACATATACTCTCTGGTTGCAGTGAATATTAAAATGTACTTGCTAATTTTTGGACTGAGTTGTTGTCAGTTGGTAAAAGAACAATTACTATAATAGCTTAGCCTTATACAATACCCTAAATATTTGGTGTGATGGCCTAAGAAATTGAGATGATTGAAAAGCAGTTACATTGAAGAACTTTTATAAAATATATGTTTGTTCCTTAGTCTGATTATGAGAAACACTCTACATGAAGAATATCTTATATAAATGTTTTTCTTTCTCTACTTGCACACATATTTGAGGAATCAGACAAATAGAGAGCAACATATGAACACTGGTGGCTAACGTGCTGAAGTTCTAGAGGGGAAAACTGCACAAGGGGCAACACTTTATTATTATTTTTTACAACATAGTAAGAACAAAATCTTTAGAGAAGGTTACAGGAAAGCTGTATTTTCCCATTCAAATCTTCCATAGCTTGTAAAATCAGGAAATAACTCAAACACTTCTGTGTGGGGGAACATCTAAAAATACAATTGGATACATTAAAATCGAAATGACGCCTTTTCAGATCTGTTTTATTGATGTGTCATATTAGGAATTGGAAGCAGCATAAATAATACAGGAGTAGTTAATGAGCTAAGATTCATACACAGCTTACTAAAGATGTGTCAACTGTCTTCAATTGACTCAGTGAGCATCTGAAAGACAGCATTTTCTATTAATATATCTCTTCCAGCATATGGTTTCTCATTATTGTGAAGCACTGAAAGTCTGGGAAGTCTTTGAGATATCTTTGACTTTTTTACTCTATGATTGGGGTGGGTAAAGAAACTTTTCTCTATGTGGAGAATTAAAGAACATCTTAGGTAAATGATATACTAAGAAATTTACACAAAATCTTTCCAGAAATAATAAACTCTACAATTTTTCTCTTTTATTTAAATTTATCCATGGTCTAATTCCTTTATGATTTAT